TAAATAAACCCTTCTCTTATTTTTAATTTATTTCTAAAACGACTGCAGAGCCGGTCATTTAATTATTCTCAGTATATATATATATACATATATATAGATAAGTTTGTCAGTAGAGTCTCACAAAAATCTGCACATTATTAATATTTATTTTGCTAACAATTGGGTAATACATTTTGTATGTTTGTTTAAATAGTAGGATATAACAATGGGACTTCAATTTTTTATACATATTTTGTTTCCAGAACAGTAAATATATATAACACAGTTCACTTTTCTAATACAATTTGGAAGAAATAGGTGATTTTGTTTTAGGTAAGAGTGGGGGATATGCTTCAGGATTTCAAACGATCAGAGTACAGCATAAGACCGATTTTTCTACAGTCACTTATAATAGTCCCATTAAATGTTAGTTCTTTAAGTACATAAAGTTTTTTAAGGTATATCTTTAAATTTATAATATCTGCAAATTGAAGTGAGTTTATCCAGGTGCTTATTATTCTATTAAAACCTTAATCATTTGTTGTTTTTATGATCAATTTATAATATGAATTTTGCTTCATTTGAACATAATTTTGTTCACTTTAATTAACTATTAATCGATTTTTTATCAATTTTCAATAAATTTAAGCTGTCACAAAAGCTCGTGTGCAGTAAATTTCTTCTATTTAATTTCACATTTTTGTTTACAATTTTACTTTCACAATTCGCGCATTTACTTCATTTCTATCTTTGAGTTTTTATTTTATTTTATTTTTTAAGATCAACATTTTCAAGATTTGGTATCGAGTAGCTTTTGACCAATTTGATTGGTAATTTTTATTTATTAATAATTTTTTCCTTTTAAATTATGCAAGTTGTGTCGAGTTGAGTTGAGACACGAGTTTAAGAGTAAAGCCACACCCTTCAAATGCGTGTTTAACAACTTTTTTATTAAAAATTGAATTAACTTTTTTTCTACATAACTAATTATATTGCATTATTGCAATGCAACCCTGACCTGACCTCCTCGCCTATATTATGTATTTATTATTAAAAGCTAATTACTTGAGAATTTTATTCTTAATTCACTTGAGTCGTATTAGTTTTTTAAATTTTAGTGTCAACAACTTTTAATTTTTAATATGAAATGGTTGTGCAGTGAGCAAATTAAATATAGTGAGTGCCCTTCCTTCGGTTCAAAGTAATTTTTTACTTATACATATTTTCCATTTTAGTATATTGTATGCTAAAATACACTTTCTGTGTAATTTTTCAACGCCATCAGCAAAAATTATATTTAATTATGAGAATATGCTTGAGTTACTTAAACTGTCAACGATGAATAAGTGGCATTCTTAATTACTTATATGAACTGCTCTACTATATACACTACGAGAATGGATTTTTTTATACACTGGTTCACACTTTCATTTAAAATTTAATTAAACGTTATAAGCTGAAGTCATGAGATTTGTTGTCATAATAAAATAATAAAAAAAGAGGCATATGCATGTTTCAGTTCCTGTAGTTATCAGTTCCTGTAATTATTTGCAAAGTAGATATATAATAGTATCTAAAACATGTGAAACTGTCCATTGTTTAATGCTTTTACTTTCTGTATTCTTAATTGAAGCTGTTCTTTAATGTCAGTTTATGTACTTATGTATCGTACTTAGTTTAAGCCTAACAACTATGCAGATAACTCTAAACACTTCTAGGTTGATTTGGTCTAATTAAGACAAAAGAACGTACGAGTCAGCTACTCCAACTAAAGCGGAGTCTACTCCGTACTACGGTATCTGTGCTGACGGGTCACTGCTTAATAGGGAGGCATGCTGTGAGGCCCGGTCTTCCTTATATTGACCTTTGGCGCGGTTGTGGCTCTGACGAAACTGTGTTTCATCTCATGTGTCAGTGCCCATCTTTAGTTAGGAGAAGATCACATATAAGGCCATATAACTGGCCTTATAATATAACAAATAATATAATCCATATAATAGGTACTTTATACTGATTTTCAAATAAGTTTTACATCTGAATAATTTATGATCTATGTAAATTGTTACTAATGCACTCTAAAAAAACAGCCTTGTTTGGTATTGTAGATAGAATAGTGTTAACAACCTGATATAGAACTATAAACAAATATAAATTTTTCAATAAGTGAATAAACATAATTAGATGGTTTTTGACTTTAACAAAACTATCTATTTATTTTTCTAATATATATCAGATATTGGTATATAAAGATATAATAAATATATATTGTTAGAAAAATTAAATAATAAGTATGTTTAATATATTATATTACCAGAGAAATCAAAGATATAAGTAGTTAATGATTATATGTTCCTAAAATATACCTAAGTTGTCTTCTACTAGATCCTATAACTTATCGCCAGTAGGACATTTGTTGTCTAAGAGTTCGAAATCATTGGTCTTTGGAGAAGTCAATAACGATTTAACAATATAATATATCATGTTCTACATGAAATATTGTCAGAAAAATTAAAAATATAGATGATCAATGACTATATGTTCCTGTAATAGATGTAAGCCATCGTCTTTTAAATTCTATAAATTACCGCCAATAGAAAACTTGTTGTGGAAATATTTAAAGTCATTGTTATATCCGAAAAAGTCAATAACGAATTGATAGAAATCATTTATCGTGAATTGCTTTTAATTTGATTTTTTTTTTAATTTCCTACACTTCTTACAAAAACAACTCTATTAATAATTTATATGAAAGTTATAGTCGATAGTGAGGCTGTTTTAGCAAATAATAGTGTTAAATCAATATGCTATATACAAATATATTATTGCTTATTAAACTTTAATAATATACTTTAAATCGTTAGATACAATCTGGACCGTGTTTGCTTTAAAATAATCTTACACTAATTCAGGATATTTTTCGGTGGGTGGTGGAGAGATTTTCAGATACTTTTTCATCTTTTTTTATTTATCCTAACTTAGAAATAGGCAAAAATAGGTCGTTCCCGTGCTTCTCTTTTTCCTATTGTTTTTTATATGATAACTAGTACAAGCAGTTGTTTTTATTCTAAAATTGTGAATAGCAAGCAAACGAATTGTTTTCAAAAAGAGTGTATGCTTGTGCTCAAAACTAAATGATAAAATTGTATAAAAAATCAGTATCGAATGAAATGAACGCAAACCACCAAATATCTGTTAGGTAGTGGCGAAAATAAAAAAAAAATATACTTTAAGCGCTGAAATGTAAAATTTGGATTCAGATTTAAGTTAGTTCTTTCCATCTGTGCAAGGAGAGTCAGTCGTAAAAGAACGTATATGCAGATAGTAATCGATGCTGTAGAAAAAAGTAAATTTCACTTAAAAAGTAATTAAGCAGGCAATATCACAAAGCCATAAAATATATCTGTAATGGTTAAGTAGAATTGCGCATTAATTTTATTCAACCAGGTATTAAATTTAGTATCTAATGCATTTTCTTGTAAAAGGGTTGGTAAACGCAGTTAAATTGCAATTAAATTTAGTATAAGGCGATGATGTCAGAGAAAATTCTAATTATTTTAATGCATTTAATAAACTTAAGTGTTAACCTCGTACTACTTGACAATTTAAATTATTTTACTATATAACATAGATGAAAAAAATGGTTAAATCATTATATTGAAATAGATTATAAATTAGTGAGAGAGGTATTTTATTTTGATTCGACAATATTGACGTATTTATGTTATTTTTAAATATCTGAGTGATTTGAACATTTCATATAAATGACTAAATAATTATTATAAAAGTTGTTGCTTAGTAATACTTTTCTTATATTTTCTTTAATTTTAGATTTCCTCTCAAACGAATAATTTATTAACGAAATCACACAACAAATGTTAAGGCGAACGAGTTTCATATTTTAAGGTAAGTTTTTCAATTTCCTTCCATTTAAGTAAGGCAAGCCAATTTTAATTTTTTTCGCTGTATTACCAGAAAACTTACTCTACGTAGTTGTGAAAACTTGCTTTAGGTAAATTAAAAAAATATCTTCGTATTTATAGTTTTTAAATTGAAAAACATATTTTTTCGCTTTTACCAATTGGTAATCGTAATTTGGCCATCAACCAATAAATGCTGCCAATAATTAAAAGCAATAAGGTACAAAGTTTTCTGGGCCAATTGATTGATTTACACTTTGCAATCTAAGTATGAGGCTGTTAGGAAAATAGTTTTAAATTAGTACAAAAATAAAAAAAAAAACAATAATTATAGAATTGTAAAAAATGTTAAATTGTTGAACAAGTGATTTAGCTGACATTTTGATTTACAATTAAAAATTAAAAAGATATAAAAAACTTTTCAACTGCAATTACAATTACAATTCGCAGCTGCACAAACTTGTCTAAGATTTCTTTCTTTGCAATTTTCAGTATCTGATATCTTCAGTTTACATTTATGTTTATCGCTGCATTGCTGTAAATCTACTTGATATTTACAAATTTCATTTTTAATTTGATTTAATGCAATTATACGACATAGTATTTATTTTTATTTTTCTGTCTGTATCTAACTTTTAGTTTGCAGTTTTTCTACTGCAATACATGTTTTTTATTTTTCACTTTTCTTGCATTGAAACAGTTTTTTAATTAACTGAAAATTGCTTACATATAAAGGTACATGTAGGCTTTTTTTTTATTTTTATAGTTTTTGTTGCAACTATTTTTTGATTTTTCCTATCACAATTAAGTATCTTGCCAGTTGTGTACTTCAATCTTGACAAAAGTTCAAGATATGCTCACTTATCAGATAAACTTTATTGTTAAGTTACATCAGTTGCCTGTTTAGTTGTAAACATGCGTGGGAATACTGTCTTTCTTTAATTAAGGCTAAATATTATTTATTTATTCAACATTTATTGCTACAGATTGTTGATAATATTTC